GGGTTTAGAGTTAGTTTTATTAATAAAAGAGTATAAGTGGGTTTTATAAGCTTTAAAGATGAGCAAGAAAGGTTCCCAATTACATTTTAATCCGATTTCATTATAATCTGCCACAATTATTAATTAGCTAAAATAAAAAGTGCGCTATACGTGCCTCAGATACTATAACTTTTTAGCATGGGAAAATTAAAAAAAAACTGATATTACCATATTTGAAGTATAGAACCTAGATATCTTGTATTGTAATGTTTTCATATTTTCAATTTATATAAACAAGGATTATTGAAATAGCATGTTGCTATATTCAAAAGTGTAAAGTCCTAGATACTAATTCAGAAAAAACAACTTAATTATTATTATCCAAATTCTAAATTAAATAAAAAACATGAATATAATATCTGAACTAATATAGTATTATAAAATTTAATAATAAACGAATTATCTATTCTGTTTTTAAAATAGACAACTTCTTATTCACATATTTATCATAGCTAATTTTATGTATATAGAGTTAAGAAATAATTGCTTAATAATAAAAAATATAATAAATAATAATTGCTTTTCAAAATGATAAATAATCAAAAAATTTTTAATTTACATATGATTGATCATAAATGATCAATCATACTTGGTTATTCTATTTATATCTAAATTAAATTTTTAATAATTAATACATTTAAACTTGAATTCATGATGAAATGTATTAACAAAAAAATTTAGTAAACTGATAAGATTGACTATTTAATCATCATGTGATTGATCATTATCTCTATTTCAAGCAAAAAGCCAAGAAAAGAGAATTCTGTTAATAAACAAAAAAAAAAGAAAACTCTTTCTGGTTCTCTATCAGAACATATAAACTAAAAATTTATAAACAAAACTTAGCAGCTCCTCCTCAAAACTACAAGGAAAAAAGGTCTCATGGCCTAATTAATGCAAATTTGCTCTACTAGACATGGGAAAATACTAAAAAAACAAAAAGGCCAGACTCTTAACCAAGGCAGAAAAAGAAAACAAAGACAAAATCTTTCACTTGATAGAAAACAAGAAAAACCAGGACACTGCTGCCTCCTTGAGCTCTAATCTACAAAACTGCCAAAGACCTAATGCTAAAGAACTAGAAGAACCTAACCACACAGTTCGCACTAGCTAGGCCACTCAAACAAAGGAAGAAATAAATAACCAAGAAGCAAAAGTAAATGACACTATAGAAAAACAATCAACTCAATACACAACAAACACAAGTAAACACAACAGAACATGTGTCTCAAAACAACAAAGCACTAGAAAAAAAACACATGAATCAGAAAACAACGTAAACAAAGAGGTACACATAAACCACATAACGGATACTCACTTAGACAATCATGCCAATCAATCAAATGATAGGCAAGATGAGATGGATAAATCTCTACCCGGTTCAGCTTTTCAATACATTAGTATCCCCAGGCCCACTGGCAATGAGAATAAACCAAAGCAATAGTCTGACCTCTTTACAAAACTTAAAGAAGGGAAGGCAAGCTTCACAAACCAAACAACCAGAAGCAAAATTCTTTCTAAGAATGAAAATGCACTAATTATTAATATACATAGTTTATATAACATCTCAACTAATGATATAATCACAACTCTAGCTCTTAAACTTAATGAGGATCTTATAGCAGCCAAAGGCCACTCATTTTAAAGAGAAAAGAACCTCTCTCAAACTTGTCTTCAAGAACAAAGAAAAGATGTAAAAATATGCAGCAAAAGGAATCTCCATATTTCAACAAACCTTTTTCGGTTATATTCCAGTAAACCTAAAATGCTTATTCCTAACTATAAAGCTCAGAAACACACCCTTGGGCGAAGTGAAACATACTACAAACCTTATCCTCGAAGCTTTTCAGGACATTGGCCAAATTGCTACAATAAAGCCTTTCCTTTTTGAGGGAACCAAAATCTGTACAGACCAATAGCTGGTCACTTTTGAAACAACAGATGATTCTGACCTACAGTCCAGAATCCCAAGAAACACACATGTAGATGACCACAAAGTAACAACAGAATGGAAAGAAGCCACCAAAGTGTATTACTACTGTGAGAAGGAAGGCCACATTAAAAAAGAATATACCAAACTCAAGGCCTCAATAGAAGCTAGACAACTTCTGAAAGAAGCCAAACTTTGGAAAAGAGAGGCAATAGTCCACAAATTGGATCCCCCAAATCTGGAGTTTAGCCCAGACAACTCCTATACCAAAGAAACACTAGACACGATAGAAGTAGATACTCCACCCCAAAAGCAGGTTGCAACAACCAACTCAGAATCTGACAGAACAAATATAGCACTACAAAATGCAGAAGCCAACTCATTAGCTAAAGAATCAGATATATCTATGCCAGATTTCTAGAAAGAAGAACAACTGCCAACTCAAACAGAGCCAAGCACATCAGACAATGCAAAACTAGAACCCCTCTTTTACAGTTGTCATTCACAGAAAACCCAAAAACAAAAACAAGAAAAGAAGCATTGAGGGAAACAAGAACTTCTCTTACTCAGAACAAAATTCAAAGACCTTGAAAAGCACTTATCAGAATGCACCCAAACCCAATGCCCAACACTAGGACCCTTTCTCTTAGTGTAGCCAAAATCATCTATCTTCTTTCATGTTTAAAATTGCTATACTCAATGTAAAAAGTCTGAACAACAGACCCAAGGCTTAAAAAACTCTTACTCTTCTTAAGTTATACAACTTAGGCATTATTCTAATTCAAGAAACCAACCTTAAAAACCCTTCTACAAGAAACTTTTTAGCACAGCAATGGGGCTTTAGCTCAGTTTGGTTCTCAAAAACAGCAATACTAGCAGGCAAAAAGAAATATAGAGCTTACAAAAACTGATAAATCTCACGATGGTCGCATTTTATCAGTCCTCACAGAGTTTAAACAACAACTATTACAGATCAAAAACATTTATGCCTCTCCTGAACAAGAAGACAGAGTCCATTTCTTTGATAGCTGGACTCTAGTCACAACAGAGAATAAATCCACATTATAGCTAGGGACTTCAACATGAACCTGAATCCCCAAAATGACAGAATAAGCAATGCTCTTTCACAAGCTGATCGTTCAAGAGAAAAGTTACAACTTCTCATAGCTGACTACACAGACACAGCACTATTCTCTAATGAAAATCTATTCCTCACTTTCTATCAATTAACTCACAATGGGCGAAGAATGGCAATATGGCTAGACTACATTTTCATAGAGAAAAACTACAGCCACCTCTGCAAAAATACCCAAACCTGTTCCCGGGTTAGTATGATAGGTTATAAATACAGTTAGGATCAGAAGGTTTAAAAGGGTAACTCCCTAGTTGGGTTA